TGTTATCAACATTTACTTCAGTAGGCTCTCTTTGTGCAAAATGAAGCTCATTCAACAAATTCCTTAACCAAACTGCTTGTGTAACACAAGAACTGACAGCAACATACTCAGCTTCACAGGTTGACAAAGTAACAATTGGTTGCTTCTTTGAGCTCCAAGTAAAAGCTGTGTTACCCATGTAAAATACAAATCCACTGGTACTCTTTTGATCATCAATGTCGCCACGTGATGGTGATGTTGGAGGAGTGGTGGTCTCATGTATTTCTTCATTGTCTTCTTCTTCCTCCAAGAAAGGAAGAAAGTCATAGTTATCTTCTTCAACATGCCAATTCCATGTTGTTTCCTCATCAAAATCCACATCTCTACTAATAAACATCCTCCCGTCACTTGGATTATAGAGCTTGTAGCCTTTTGTTTTTGAATCATAGCCAACAAACACACATTTTTTACTCTTGTCATCAAGTTTCAAGCGCTTCTCATCAAGAACATGGACATATGCAATGCATCCAAATACCTTCAAATGAGATACTGCTGGTTTTCTCCCATTCCATGCTTCAAGTGAGTCTTGTGGGCTAAAGCCTTTGTGGCACACCGGTTCAACAAGTAGACAACACAATCGACAGCTTCTACCCAAAATTCTTTTGGCATTTTCTTTGTCTTCATTATGCTCCTTGCCATATTGAGAATTGTTCGGTTCTTTCCTTCAACAACTCTGTTCTGCTGTGGAGATCCTGGAGCGGTTAGGAACCGACGAATTCCGTTGGCATCACAGAACTCTCGAAAATTTCTGGACGTAAATTTGCCTCCTCTCTCTGATCTCACAGTCTGGATTTTATATCCACTTTTTTTTTTCTATAAGAGCTTTAAAATTCTGAAAGCACTTAAACACCTCTGATTTTTCTTTTAGAAAATACACCCATATTTTTCTATTAAAATCATCAATAAACAGAAGAAAATATTTGTTCTTACCAAAAGAACAGAGAGTAATTGGCCCACATACATCAGTGTGTATCAATTGTAGTTGCCTTGAAACTCTTGATTGAGATTCCTTAGGAAAGACCTTTCTTGACTGCTTACCAAAAAGACACCATTCACAAAGCTGATTAGGCTGATGTATTGGAGGTAAACCTTTCACCATTCCATTGCTAGCCATTGTTTTGAGCCCTCCAAAATTTATGTGCCCAAATCGTAACTGCCACAACCATGACGAGTCTTTATAACACGACGTCAAACACTTAGCCATATCAGTTTGTATGAACAACACAAATAAACGATTTTTCGCCATAGGTACTTTAGCAATCAAATTTCCTGCATCATCCTTTAAAAACACACTGCAAACTTTTGTAAACAAAACATAACCTTTCTCCAATAATTGACCCACACTCAAAATATTACTCTTCATATCTGGAGCATAATAGACATTTGAAATAAATTGGTGATTTCCATCTTTCATACGTATCAAGATTTTATCTTTCCCCTTTACTGGAATTTTGGAGGAATCCCCGAATGTGATATTGCCACCAACCTTCTCATCCAGCTCTATGAACAAATCTTTGTTCCCACACATGTGATTAGTAGCTCTAGTATCAAGGAACCAAGAATGTTTTTCTCCTTGCTGCAAGTCCTTGCAAGCTATCAAAAGAGTAGACTCTATCTCTTCATTATTTTCTATATCTTCTTCATGAGAAAGGTTAGCTTTAGCACCTTCACCACTTTTACATTCCCATGAATAATGTCCAAATTGATGACAAGTATAACATTTAACTTGTGACTTGTCATACCTCTTTTGATATGGTCTTGCTCCTCCGCTGCCATGTCCTCTTGTTGAGTTGGATTGATAATTTTCATCTCTACGTTGAAATGAAATATGGTTACCAGTTCCTCCTCTTCCAAAGCCTCATCCACATCCTTGTCCACGCCCTCGTCCTTTGAAACTTGTATTTCCCTTTTCTTCCTTATTTTTCAATGTGAGCTTTGATTGTAAAACCTGCTCCAATAGCTCCTTCCTTCTTCGATTAAGCTTCTCTTCATATGCTTCCAATGATCCGCATAATTCTTTAATTGTCATATCTTCCAAATCCTTAGATTCTTTAATGGCAGTCACCACGTGATCAAATTTCTCACTAACTGATCTAAGGATTTTCTCAATCACCCTTAAAACAGTCACATCTTCATCAAGCCTCTTCATTTGGTTTGCAACGGTCACCACTCTTGAAATATAATCCGACATCTTTTTGGATTCCTTCATTCGTATAGCTTCAAATTCACCTCGTAGATTTTGGAGGCGAACTTTCTTTGCCTTCTCCTTTCCTTTGCAGGCAACTTGAAGCATATCCCATAATTGTTTTGCTGTAGTAGCACTAGAAACCTTCTCAAAAGTGGCCTCATCCAATGCTTGGTGAATAAGAGAAACAGTCTTTTGATCCTTCCTCTTAGTATTTTGTAAAAGATCCCTTTGTGCTTGAGTGAGAGCAGCTAGATCGGTGGGAGCTTCATAACCATTCTCCACGATGTCTCATGCATCATGTGCACCAAATAGTGCCTTCATGGTGATGCACCAATTATCAAATTTCTCTTTGGACAGCTTTGGAACTTGGAAGGGGATCATGTTGGTATTTGCCATTGTTTCTAGTATTGTGGCTCTGATACCACTTTGTAGGAAATAGAAGTGGACTTAGGTATTTATAGGACTTCCTATCACATAAGTTTATCCCATCAATTTAATTCTGCTACATACACCACAATTTACTAGGTACACATTAATTAATAATAATTGCATACATGAACCACAATTAATTAGGTGCATATGAAATAATAATACATGTATTTCAAGCTTCTAAATTCATGAAACTAAATTAAATAGGTTAAATGCATGTTTATTTTTCTAACATTTTCTTATATACACAAATATGCGTGTTTTGTGTGTGATACATGCTTGTGGTTGAAAATTAGCCACACTTTCTTGTGTAAATGTGTTGCACACTTTAACCCATGTCCACACCTGTCCCAAAAAACCATCCATAGTATCCAATTGAAGAATTTAGAGTCTGCACAAGTGGGAAAAACAAGACCATTGACATAAACCAAGGAGAAAAGAAGAACAAAATGGCAAAAGAGTAAATTTTCTATATTAAAAGAAGAAAAAGGAGGAAACTAATTGAGAGGTGGAACCTGGCGCTAAGGGCCCAAAGATGCCAAGGAAGAAACAAAACGCAAGACGCCACCATGATTTAGCCCGTTTGAAGGCTATAAAGACTAAATTCGGCAAAGACGTGGGGAAAAGTATAAATACAAAAATAGAGGCACTTTTGAGGAGCCCCACATATTGAGATACAAAGAACATAACTTGAGATTGAGGAGAGCGTATTAAAGGAGAAAAAAAAAATCAAGAAATCAAGGGTTTGAGGCATTGACTGAAAAAAAGAAGATCTTGGTGCAAGAATCATCCCTTTTTCTACATCTTTCTTTAAAATCCGATAATGTACACAATACAAATATTTTATTTTTCTTTTTATATTATGAATAATTAAAAAATATATTAGGACGAAAATTGTAATCTATTTCAGACCTTTAATTTCTTTTATTCAAGATTCTAATTCTTTAAAATTTATGTGTTGATTTTATTCATGTATTTAATGCTTTAAATTACTTGATCAATAATTCCATAACTTTTTGCTTCTTTTAAAACTGACCCATATGCAACAATCAATGGAGGAAGGCTAAAAGGGAGTCATGGTCAACTCTTCTGCATTGGCTTGGCAGGGAATTATAAAGCTAGAAAATTGTGGTAAAAGTATTAAAAACAGTAAATTAGGAAAGAGGGAACTGAAAGAGAAGGTCTTGGTATTGTCATGTTGTTTTATCATTGTTATATTTTGAGAGAGATTGGAGTGGATAGATTGACAAGGTATATGCTTATACACACAAATATGCATGTTGCGTTTGTGATACATGCACAAACACTTAAGGCATGTCCACACTTAACACATGTCCACACTTGTTCCGAACAAACCATCCATAGTATCCAACCGAAGAATTTAAAGTTTGCACAAGAACACAACAAAAACATTTAGCAGCAACAATGGAAATTAAGTCTAAGGTTAGTTTTGGTCCCAAATTAAGTCTCATCCTGCATCAAAAGCACGAGTAAAAATGAAAACTAGTAAATAACATGAAGATTTTTCAACCTAAATCCCGAAGGTTCGGTGACCATTGCTAACACCCAATACCACGTTGAGCATTCGTTAAGGATTATGCTCGAATCCACTAGGATAAGCTAAAATATAAGGCAAAAGTCAAGATTACACATTGAGTTTTCATGCAGAGAACACAAAACACTACAAGAAATGTCACCTTCAACAACTATATAAATGGTCGTAGAATGTATATTTTTGTTTGTTGATCACATTCAACGACCAAAATCAGTTGGTCATTTGTTGGTCGGCAAAGAGGTGTTGATGATTGTATTCAAAGACTAAAAATACATTTGGTCGTTAAATGTATTATTTTAACAACTAAATAATTAGTCGTAAAAGGTTTTTATTGACAACCAATTCTTTTCTCAACAACCAATTGTTTGGTTGTTTAATAATTGTTTTTGTCGTTAAAATACAATAAAAGTAACCAAATTTTAGTTGTCTTTCATTTCAACAACAAAAGAAATAGTCGTTAAAAATTAATATAGACAACCAATTAAATTTTGTTTCAACAACTGCTTGATTTGTGGTTGTATTAAATTTTTTTGTCAATAAAATATAATTGAAGCAACTAAAAATTAGTTGTAAAACGTTTATATTAACAATGAAAATATTAAAATAATGAGAAGTATGATTGTCAACAGTGATATTCATGATTCTATAACTTTTACATATTCACATCATACTACAAATAAACCATACTCACAAATATAAACAATTATAAGAATAAATGAAAGCAGGTATAAAGAACATTGACAAGAACTAAAATTTTCTTGAGCCTAAAATCAATTAAAATATCCCAACATCAACTACAACTACAACTAGATATTAATTATATCAAATATCATGATTTAGACAAAAAAATACAGTCTGTTCAATCATTAGTGTTCTCAACATTAAAAACTAGTAGATGTAAAGTTGGAAACTATTGCCTCAATCAAATAAAAATATATAACTATTACTACATCACCAAAAATAAAGTAAAAAACATATTAATTATCACCATTTAAAACATTGGACGAAGACACATCAGATTGAATAGACCGAAGAAACTCTTCAAGAATGCGACTTAAAAAATGTCTGCAGAGATTTCAATTGAGAGCAAAGATCTTCAAACTTATTTTGTAAAGCAGCATTCTCTGCACAAATACCACAATTTTGCAACCTTTTCTTCTTTGAATTTTTCTATTGATCAACGTGGCAAAATCTCTTGCCCAAAACTTACTCACATATTTCAGATTCTTTTAAAGGCATAGGTGTTCATTCGAATCTCGTTGAGAATTTTCTTCTTGTAAAAGGTTGACCATTTGATTCTGTGGATCCATGTAAATTATAAATAAAATATTAGATTTTTGAAATATTCATTATACAATTATAACAAGTACTACTTACATAATGGGACTCCGCTTCTTTAGTTGTCCACCCACGTTCATTGCTACAATTCATCTCATAGAAAAATTTGATCTGACCCAGTAACTCTTTTGTAAGCGGATCCCTCTGTTTAAAAAAATAAAATTGATATATAAAATTCATGAAATATAATATTTAACATCTTTATGACTTACCATTTCATGTGGGTGTGCAGAATAAGATTTTGATCCTTGAAGATTTTCCTAAAAAGTGAATACATAGAGCAAAAATTTGCGTTAAAACAACAAGCATAGTTTGTCATTCACCCACTACAATGGATGCTTAGAATACAAATACTATAAAATCCTTCCTAAAAATTTAGGCAGTATCAAAATTCTGCTTTAATCTCTTTAAATTCAGTCAACGCAATCCAGACATTCATTGTTCACCCAATAGATGTTAATGGTTCATCCTTTTACAATTGAACTTCTAGTGATAAGGGGGTAACAAAGTACACTTAAAGGCCTTGCAAACACGGTCAATAATTAAATATATTCTCCTAGCAGATTCCTTAATCTGAATGAACACGTCTGCTAATGAACCTAAACCATGTATTTGTATTAGGGTGTTAGAAACAATAGAAAAACAGAAAAAACTGTCAAAGTGTGAGTATTCTAGTGGGGAAAAAACTTCAATAGGGTATAAAGAATTACATCATCCCAAATGTCCGTAAGTTCTTCAGTTGATTTATTCTGTGCCCTCTCTATATCAATAATCGACTCCAATGGCCTTGGTTGCAATGGTGTGAACCTAGTTGCAAAGCTTGATGTCCTGCACAAACCAAGTGAACCCCACTTCAATAATTCAACAGGAAAATGGTATGCTTCTACACCGTCAAAAATTCTTCGCAGAGTGAGCCAGTGGTATAAGACTGTTTCAAAATTCTAAAAAGACTAGAAGCATCTCCACTCAGAGCTAAAATAGAAGACAATATCCTCCTACAATCCTTTGATGCTAGACCTTGCATTATATGCTTTTTTGCAATATAAAGATCCGATCTTTGAACATCTAATAGCAGGCAAATAGTTAAATACAAAAAATAAAACTTTTCCAATTTCTTCTTAATTTGTAAAAGCAAGCAAATGCCAAAAACTTGCAAATCTCAAGCACCGATCAGCCTTTGCTTCTCCCTACTTTCAGCCCCTAGCAATCAGGCTAAGGTTGCACAAACAAAATTAACTAATGGAAGATTAGTGCATTAAAAGCTGAAGGGAGAGATGAACACAAGACAATGGTCTAAAGAACTAATTAGAGCTCTTTTAAGAATTTTATCAAACAGTAAGCCAGTGCCATATCAGCAACTCACGAAATTCACATAATCAGCGTAAAACTGTCAAAAAAAAAAAAAAAAACCCCCCCATTTAGATTGATCGAATAAATGTTTTCCTGCAAGTGATGTATAACACATTTGTAGATTGTAGTCCACACTCTATCATTGAACGTGAGTGTTGTTAGTACTATACTTACAAACTTTTATCGAAATAATATTAGATGACCTGTAATTGGCTTTTGAATTCATGAAGCCAAACGATTCTAATATCAAAGGTGTTCAATTATATGAATTCCAATAAAGTGGAAGCAACTAAGGGAGGGAATGAATAATTTTGGGGAAAAAATTTTGGGGGGCAGGAAGAGTGGAAGATGGAAAATTAAGAGAGGGAATGACAATTTTGGGGAAAAACTCTGGAGGCAAAGGAAAAGTGGAGCAAGGTGCAGATTTTGGGTATTTGAATTTTGAAATTTGTAACCAAAAAAAAGAAGAAGGTATTTTCTCGTTTTCTTATTACTTATCTTTTAAATTCAAAAATATATTTTGTGAGAATTAAAATTAGAAATACTGAAATAGTAATTGAAAAAAATTTCGTTAATTATTAGCATAGAAATATGTCAAATATTTTTGTTGGCAAAAGATATATTTGAATTAAGGAAATATGATAAGAATGGAAGGAAATAAATTAAAAGGGAATAAAATCACGAATAATTTAACTTTTTCACAAACTTTCAGTGACAACACTTAATCAATAGTTGAATATCACCTTCAACGACTACGTCTTATTAGTCGTTGAATGCCGAAAACTATTTTGGCATCAAGCTAAAGCGGTAATCGATTGTCATAAACCTCCAACGACTAAACATAATCGGTCGTTGAATGTCACTTAAAACAACCACTAAATAAATAGTCGTTAAATGTCGAGTTTTCCTTTAGTTTCAACAACGAGATAAAATTAGTTATTGTTTTATCATACTAACGACCAAACATTATAGTCATCGAATATTTACTATATTATATGTGCTTTTAACAACCGATTTTGTTGTCGTTTAATATGAACAAATATTTTGGAGGGAATATTTTATTTGGCGCCCACTCAAAACAACCAATTTTAATTTGGTTGTTGAAAATATAGATTTAACAACTATTTTTTCGGTCGTTGTAGGATATTTCCACCTAATTTAAAATTCTATTCTTCGTAATCCAATTTCTACGGCGAAACTTATAATTTGGTCTTTGAAAATAATTTTTAACGATCAGATTTATTTGGTCGTTGAAATATTAGTTGTTAAATATCATTTTTCTTTAGTGAAACTAGAAGGGGGGAAAATATATATGTGTGTGTGTATATATATATGTACAACATTAGAGACCTCTAAGGTTACTGTAAATCAATATACACAAAAACATTCCCCTTTTAAACAAATTTCACAAAGAAAATCAATTAATGAAATAAGAAAATGTTGAACAAAGAAATGTCAAAAAATTACGAAGAGTTTAGGCTTTTCTCTTGCCATGGAATGAGATGAGACAATCCTTATATTTCACAGAAGCATCAAGGGCAGCATTCAAGGAACCACATCAATACACATCCCATCATCACAATAGAACTCAAGACAATGCATAAAGCGTGAAATCTATTATAAATTTATCCTTGTTTTACGAATTGCATTTTCAGAACAATGTTGAACAGGGAAATGTCAAAAAGCGTCAAAATTGTATTTTGAGTTTTATGTAATAAATTTATCCTTGTTTTAGGAAATGCATTTGCAGAAATACCAAACCAAATGCATTTCGGTATTTTGCAAAACTGAAAGCAATTTGAAAACAGCAAATAAAACACCAAAAATGCCTAATGTACAGGCCTGTACAGGTCCCCTCACAAGCTGTGTGAGGGGGTGGGCGTGGGTGATTATTTAAAAAAAAATTACCCACCCCCCATAATGTGTGTGGCCTGTATAGGTCGTGTGAGGCAGTATTGTTGATAAAACACATCCTTATTGATTATGGCCATTATTTTTATATAATTTTTGAACACATTTGATCAAGATTTAATCTGAGCAATAACATAATGTTGGTAAGTTCTAATGATTAACTTAATTTTGGAAGTTTCTAACCGTTTCATGAAATAATTAAAAATACATTAGACCATCTAATCAAGTGATCCAATGAATGTGATTAATTTTGAAGAACTCTTATTTCAGGGAAATAAAGACAACGATAAAACCCTGCATTGTGACCTCAAAATTTAAAAAAACATAGTTTTAAATAATATTTTTGAGAATGTGTGGTTAAAAATAAGAAAACGTTATGAGTTTAAGTGTAAAATATTTTATTGTGTGAATATGTGATTCAAAATGAATATGAGAAATAAATTAAAGTAAAGTTAATGAAAAAGGGGCATAATTTGTAAATTTTTTAAAGAGGAGTCGTTTTCCATAAATTTCCCTTTATTTTTGATATTTTGTTCATAACCTAAAATCGCCTTTTGGTAAATCCCTGCGGACTCTGCATGTACGCTTTTAAGGTTATTTTGCTCTTCCTTCCCTCCATATTCCTTTTCAAACTCAAACCAAGAACCCTAATAATACGCCAATTTTTCCAATTTCTGACCTAAAGTGAAGGGTTCACGGTTTATTCCGTTTGGATATTTGAGGTTATCATTTATTTTGATAGCATGGATTTATCTTTCTATTTATGCTAAATCAAAATTGAACGTTGATTATGAGAAAATAATTCGAATTTAATTCAACTCTTGAGTTTGATGGTATAGCATTATTGCTTCGATTTTACGGCTTATGAATAGTGCCCAGAGTGCCAACTGCTTGTGGAAATATCTAAACCAATTTAGGGTCATTCTTTTGGCCGGAACTAAGGGGAGAATTCACAACATTATGAAGAATTATAAAATTTCGACCTTTATGTTCTAAATCTCAGCTAGTACTGATGATGCGTGAGAAATAATAACTGCAACAATTTGATGTCATCTTAGAAAATATATGTTTTGACTTTGTAATGTTATGAAATATGTACAATTTTGAATATTTTTGTTTAAAATTCCCAACCATTTTAATTTGATCATTTTTAAACAAGTGGAACCTTCACTATTTTATTTAAAATAATTTGGCTCTACCTCCTATCTTTACAAGCTCCTGTTTGACTTCCTTAAAATTAGTGATTTTTCCATTAGGATGTTAAGGAGCTAATCATTTATGAGATATATGCTACGAACTATGCAGTTGGCGTGGCTTTAAATTCAAATCTTGGATCATTTTAGATTCAAGTAACATCAGGTATTGAAAACAGGATAGTATAACTACAATTGATATACATAGGTTTTTTTCTTTCATTTATGAAAGGTGAATTGTCTAAGATATAGAGAGGTGTTGAGATTTACAGAAAGAGGCAAAATAGCAGCTAATTTTTACAGTAGTTTACTTTTCCAAAGGTGACACGAACAACCAATATCGTGTTAGATGATTTTGAAGGTGCTGAAAGGGTAGCTTTTGCAAATTCCTTCGTACGTAGGATAACATAAACAAATGAAGAATGTCAATTTTTGGGCTTGATCAAACCTTTTATGATTTGATTAGCAATGGATTTAATTGGAATTGATTCTTAAAGGGACTAGAATTTGAGAGTTGTGATTGATTTTTTCTATATTTTATTTTTTGAGATTTTTGTAGTCACGTACTAGGATAACATAAACAAAAAGGAGAACGTCAGCAATGCTCTTGTATCTCGTACTACAGGGTGTTGGAAAGCCTAAATGTTTGATCAATTATGAAACATACTGCAGCTCTTTAGCAATTTCTTCTCTATCTACCTCCAGGACATAGAAAATGTCTGACACAATTAGGGTAGATTACATCTAATGTGTTCACTCCTCTGTGTTGCTACCCTTCTGTGTGAACATAATTGTACACCATACGGAAAAGGTTAAGTAGTTTTTTTATGTTATTATTAACATGCATTTTTACGGGCAGACTGAATATAAAATTTACTTGGCATGACAACATGACCGTGTAAATGCTGTACACTGGAAGTTTAATTCCTGTTGTATATTGATAAAATGTGTGTTACTCATATGAACCTTGTAAATACTGCTGTATAAAACTGCAATGACAGCCCATCAAACTTATTTTCAATAAATATGAGTGTGTTTGTTGTGTATTTATGTTGTATACATGCATACTTTATTTTCTTTGGCAGCAAAATTTATCTTTGTACAAGTTCGCATACTCATTACATAAACCTCCTATTTTTTTAAGGAAAAAGAATTGCCTGAACGACAAACTGATTGTAGAAGTGATTTGGCACCCATGTTTATATGTACAATGCTTTATGTTGCGTGTTTTCCTTATCCTGCTGCCTGATGGTTGCACTCTACATCTTTGAGCCAATCAACAACTTCTTGTATAGTCGGCCTCTTGACAGGGTTCTGGTTGACACACATGCAAGCTCCCATTTTCCATGTAGGAATATATTAGCAATCTATAGCCTTCATGAACACAGTAATTCTGCAGCGTAACCAGATTCTCATGTTGGGCAGTGGACAAAGCTTCAACCTCGGCTTTGAATTTTCCATTAGAGTGGAACATAGGTTTCACGGATCAAATAGGGTGATGTCGAAGTGGAGTGATAGCATCGGCCTTGTACAGGTTTAATTCAATATCTGGTTGCTAGAAACACTAAATGGGTTGGGGGTGCGGGGGCAATGCCCCTGCGGTACAGTACAAGGTATTTTCTTTACAGGCCTTAAAGTCTTGTATGGGCCTTGGCTAGGATTAGTATAAATAATAATGTTGTAACCCTATTTTTCATACTAAATAAAAATTATCTCCGCTTCGCTCTCGTGGATGTAGGCACACTGTCGAACCACGTAATTACGTGTGTTGATTTCTCTCTTTTATCTCTTTATTATTGCGCATAAAATTCAACACATTCTCCATGTAGGGATATATTAGCAATCTATAGCCTTCATGAACACAGTAATCCTGCAGCATAACCAAATTCTCATGTTGAGCAGTGGACAAAGCTTCTTCCTCGGCTTTGAATTCCCTTTTCATCAGACCCATATCTCTCGAGAGTTTCTTAATTGCCAGCTTGGTACCATCTGCTAAAGTTGCTTTATATACCAAACCAAAGCTGCCACACCCAATTATGTTTGACGGGTTGAAATTGCCTATGGCTTTCAAAATTTCAGCAGTTGTTAGTGTTGCGTTTTGATACCCAAAAAATTTGGCGATGATTTAAAATAGTTGTCGGATAATTTATCGACACCATGGACTTGACTCGACTCGAAAACAACCTATATTTTTGGATGGCCCAAGTTTAGGTTGGATGGTTTTTTGATTGTGTGGTCCATTTATTTGTAATTAAGTGGCAGCCCATTTGTAGAGAAGACAGTGGTCCAATCCATATGAGCCACCTAATGTCTTGCTATTTATGTTT